AGGTTCTTTGGAGGTTTCGCGCCAACACCATACTACATTTAGTTGATCTATACAAATGCATTATCTGTGGAGAAATTCCTTCTCTGTGATCTTAATCCTAACCCTTATGATTTTCCTAATCCTATACATCCTCTAATGGTATACCGTTATGATTTAACCCTGATCAGTTCTTTAACTCCTATACCTCGCCTAATCGTAAAGCTTTGATAAAATTGCAGTCATGCAAGTACCATTGTGATGTCATCTTTGGTCAAGTTTGGTTGCTTGGATTTACTGTACGCCATTTCAGTTGGACAACTTCTGAATTTGCAATTTAACAATGCCACTTTTAAAGGAGCGTGTGAACGCCTGAATTTCAAGAATGAAACCAGCCAGTCAGAAGTAGAAAGCGATGGTGTGAACTGCATGCATGAAACCAAGTCAAGCCAAAGCTTTATGATTTCTTTGAAATTAATCAAAAACACCAACCTTATAACCGCTCTACATCTGTTGAAAGTAAATATTAAAAATAGCGTAAAAGTTAGCCAGAGTATAATATAGTATTGTGCATCCTGTTGAACGTTTGTGTCAAAATAATATTTTGTTAAGCCCATCTTGTTCAAAGTAAAAGTACAAAAAGTAACACTAATTATTAGTCCTTCATATTCTATATTCTGTTTTACTTAAGCCGGAGGAAAGACTTTCGTGGAATACCCCATCGAGATCCAGACTAAAAAAACGAAAGAGATCCGATGATGAGATAGCGAGAAAGGGATACAACTCAAACAATACTGCCGAGGTAAAGTAATTATTACTTATTAACGCTTTTTGCATAGCCATAGGGTGAGTTCGAATCATGCATTTAATGATGTTTGCACATAAAATCCTTCCTTGTGAAATCTGTATAGTTTGTTTTTACTATTCCCTATTACTTGAACCCTATAATATGGTCAGTAGACCTACAATCATAGAATAATTAATCGGGACAATCACTATTAAAGTGTCACTCAAACAGCATTGTAATATCTGTAGAAAGAAAACTTTTACACGCAGCTTTTAAACTATATTGTTGCAGATCGTACATTCATACATTAACGTTACCCTGCCCTCCCCTCATCCCCCCATCTTACATTGTTGGTTCCCCGGCTATTTGCCCAAAACGTTGCGCAATACTCGTGAATATCATATGGTCGTGAACACAACATTGAATGGGGGAGGGAGGGGAGGGAGGGGGGACGCACAATGTAAGCCCGAAATATTCTACTTTCTTTTCAAGTAATAAACGTTTAATATGTCCCAAAGTGATTGTTCCATGATTGTAGAAAATTCGGTTTTAGTATTATTCCATCTGAGTTGTAATCAATAAATCCATTTTCAGGACAAGGAACGTATTCACTTGGAATCAGAGCCAGAGGTAAATAAAAGTCTCTAAAATGTTTAGATTGAATGAGCGATTGATAATCATTAACTTGATGATAAAGGTTATTGGATAAAGCCTTAGGAAGTTATTGTCGTTGTTGTTGTTGTTGTTGTTGTTGTTGTTGTTGTTGTTGTTGTTGTTGTTGCTGTTGTTGTTGTTGTTGTTGTTGTTGTTGTTGTTGTTGTTGTTGTTGTTGTTGTTGTTGTTGTTGTTGTTGTTGTTGTTGCTTTTATTAAAATAAAAATGTGCTCTTGGAGTCGTGGTGCAATATTTTTTAATCATAAAGTATTTTCTGTTTTATTTAGACCCAATTCCGACCCACAATTTCTTGTTGATTTTGTGAAAATATCACAAAATCCCCCATGAAACACCTTGTGTCTTTGTTCCTGAATTGCGTGTGATTACATCTGATTCCGCATTTGTCACTACATGAGCTTCATATGTGACTACATGGAATCACATGGGATTTCATGGGCCATCCTCGTCCCGTAGGTCTTCTGGTGCAGGCACGCTTCGGGAAAAAGGAGCTATAGAGACTAGTCTCCCTTTCCCCCATCTCGCGCCCACCAGAAAGCCCTATAAGGACGAGGTGGTACATGCTGTTCACATGTGACTACACGTTATTTACATATGACTCCATGAAATAACAAAAACGGAATTAACATGTTACCACATGTGATCTTAAAACAGGGATGCCGGAAGATCGATAATAGCGGGTGCAGATATTCATATATTCGTGTTCACAGACTGTAAAAACAATCGATTTCAAAAGAAATTAATTGGGCAGAACACGAATATATGAATATCTGCACCCGCTATTATCGATCTTCCGGCATCCCTGTCTTAAAACATTGACACGTGGAATTTTCACAACGGTTATAACAAGCAAATGTTGTTGAAGTTGACCGCAAGAATAGATCTACACAGAATGATGTTCGAATCTCGTTGGATATCCCAACTGGGAATCGATCCCAATGTTTCTATTTTAACATACATAATGCTCGGACCACCGAGCTATTGTTGAGACTTGAGAGCGTGACATCGCAGCAGCTCAGTAGTCCGAGCACTGCCATGGCCAGAGATCACGGACATAATTTATTCTACTACTTTACTAATTTGCATATCACTTTGAATTATGGCTCCAAGGGTATATAGTAGATTGTACAACGCGATGTTGTAAACGCAAAATTGGAGAATATGGTAGATCCTTTGCAATTTGTCGCAATCGCTGGTTGCAAAACAAAGGGTGTCGAAGAATTTAGTGTAATATTAGCCTGAGTCAAGTTACTACCATTCCTGCTTTTTCTACATTTGTACAGAGGTTAGCTTTTAACTACATTCGTCTATTTAACTCCATATAAAAATACCGCACTTGGAATAAACAAAAAGCAGGGAAAACAGCAACTTAAACTAGGCCAAAATTACACTAGATACATCGACAAACTTTGATTTAGCACCAGCGATTTCGGCAAGTTGCAAACGACCTACCATATTCTTAGATTTTGCGATTTACCTCATCGCGTTGCACAATCTACTGTTTACAGTTAAAGCCATATTTCAAACTGATATATAAATTTTTATGGAATTAGAATAAATTATGTCCGGCATTTCTGGCCATGTACGTTAAACCAAAAACCTTGACTTCGATTCTCGGTATATATGCGGTGAGATTGGAAATTGAAACATGTCAGTTGAAGCCGATTGCCATTGGTATTCCCAAAAGTTAACAATATTGCGAAATAGGCTTACTCGAAGACCTCAATCAACAAAAAATTGTCTGTTGTCCTCTGTCGGGCTCTGAAACTTACGTTTTTTCATGGGCTTTTCAATTTAGGGGTCAAGTCACGACCGAAAAAATATGGAAAATAAAATATTTTATACCTTTAGAGAGAGCTTGTTAAACCTGTTAAACCTGTTAAACACTAACGGGAGCGTTAAAGTTCATTTTCGTGCTAAACTTAAATAATTTTCATAAGTGCATGCTCCAGATATTTATTGTATAATTATCTGACGTCGCGCTATACTCCAAATATATGGGGGCAAGAATTGGCACATGAGATGAATTGGTACGAATCCGTATACATGACCATGTATTTTGAGCTTACGTTATGTTTTGTACATTGAATATTATACAGGCAGAAAGCGTTTACCATGGCTACGACACCGAAAAGAACGACTACACTTTGGTGCAACTGAGCAAAGACATAACAAAAACAGAAGAATCAAACGAATTTCTTGACTTACTGAGTAGACTTGAGGAAAAAATGAAGAAACAATACCCTGAAAGACTAAAGAAATCATAGTATTAATATAATATTCTCAATAATGCTGGTAATTATTGAGAGCTCTTGCATTCATCATTTGTTTACAGAAAATTCCAGGGCCTTTTTTAAGAATTCGTAAGTGGGAAGCCCATCTACAGAAAGGGACCATACTGTACTGAGTGCCCCCAGGTTTACAACACAATGTTTAGCATGTTTAAAACGATATTGACTCACTTAAAAATAAAAGAAATGACATAATATTCACAAAGCAAATTTCAATTAGACCCACGCTTCTGAATAAGTATAAATTTTATTTTCTGCCAAGGTTTTGCTTATATATTTTGAGAGAATGGACTTTGACTGGGGTGGGGCAAAATGGTCGAGTGAGGGAGCAGCGTGGAGGCTGGGCTTTAGCTCCCCCAGTTACATAGTTAAAATATAGGCCCTGGAAAATTCTCATGAACAGTATCTTTAGTATACAGTATCTTCAGCGTTGGGTTCCAGGCAGACTTAAATGTTCAAGTCTATCAAAAAGTTGGTTGAAGGATATAATTATCTATCTATAAAATACTAAAATTACTTCAACGTTTCGAGTGAAGCCCTTTGTACAATATAGTAGTCAACTCTAACTTTTCTCTCGAGACGCCGAAGTTTGTGTTTTCTATATCAATTACGTTCCAAAACATCACTACTATAAGACTTTCACTAAATTTCCAAGAAACCATAAACTGATTTTGGGTAATAAATAGTGTAAAAATAGCTGAAGAGGTGGGAGGAAGTAATTTATATATTAAAAAGAATTAACGAGGAAAGGCATGGGACAAGGATATAGAACATAAGAAACTTACTGCAGAAAGTACAAGTGGTGGAATCATCCTTTAGCTGCTTTATTTTTCTATCCGTAGAAATATCTGGTTGATGTTTTTTTATCCTATGAAGAGCATGGCATACCTAACTTTATCACTGCACATTCTATAAGAGCAGTAGATGCATGGTCAGTAGACCTGCTAGTCTTTGCTAGTTTAATTGGAGACTCTGGTATCCTCCCCCGAAATATTTTACGAACGAGGCCCTTTGGATTGACTAAAAAACAACCATGCCTGGCGACTAAAAATGAACCAGAGTGAATTCCATGTAAATTTCAAGATAAGATTTTGCCGGCCAAGTTTTGTGCTGTTTAACCTCGATATAAGTGATATATAGGGCATTTAGGTAAGTGATGCAAATTAATGCCATTATAAAGACAGTTGTAATTGGACAATTCTGTGCTAATCAATATCTTCAAGGAAATATACTGAGCAATCTTTTCCAGCTCGAGATATTTTTCTGCTATTGCAAGTCAGTGATTTACTTAGTATGTCTAGCATGTGACAGAAAATGACAGGTATTTATAGACTTTTTTCTTCGTGAAGTTATTTCTAAAGAGAGCTATTGAAAGCAGAATATCGTGTTTTTAAAGTCAGCACATATACGTGAAACACTAGTTCAGGACCTTCATGACTAATTGTTATGTCATAATTTTGATTATTTATAATTAAGATTACAAAAGTTGGTTTTGAAAGCTTTTCAGTATTTCCCATGTTTCCATACAGTTAATCGACCAATCAACGCTTGCGTACTATACTGATAAATGTTACAATTATAAATTAAAATATAGTTCATAGACGCGCTTTTGTTAGCACGAGAACTGAGGGGCCTATGAGATGGCCTAATTTTAGACATTTTAAATTAATTAAAAAGTACGTGGATATATGAGTTGGCGCCGGAAGGAAGTGCATACCGTTTCCCAGAAATCACCTGTCTTTAGCTAGCGTCCTTTGCGTGTAGCTGACTACAAGATACACTAGTTCGAAATTTGTCTGAGTAATGGATCTAGAGGATGAATTTCAAGATTTCCTAAAAGAGCGCAGCGAGATTCTCGGAGACATCGAACAGTTTTTGTTCATGACCTTCAGGTATTTCTTGGAGATGGGGAACAGATATGATCCCAAATTCTTTGCTACTGAAACTGTACGTTCACTGATCCAATCGCTTTGTCTAATACATGGATTATATGGCTATCCTGAACGAAACTCTTCTGCGAAGAATATCACTGGTAAGAACTAATTACGTAATTATGGACTGTTTTTGGTTCAAGGTGGCTGCAACGCGTTTGGATTGGAAAACCGTGAGCCCAATTAAAACGAAAGTGGCTGTGTTGACGAAAGGCTTGTCTAAAATATGTTACAATTCGATAAATCAGACCTATCGCAAAATATTTCTTCGATGCCATTTCATTAGCTCGATATATATACTGAACGCTGACAACTTGAATCGGCGTGTTTAGTCAGATGCTTCCTTATTCAGTAATATATATCTAAAGATTAAATACGCCCGTATAAATTGATTTAACGTACAGTTGTGGTCTTCAATGGTAGACCATAACACTTTCTTGCATCTCGCCATTACGAAACAAATATAGTTGTCACTGATGTGGTTGGTTCGGGGATTAGAATATACAGTAAGTTGTCGCCATAGTGTTCTGAGTGTTGATGATCCCACAATCACAGCACAACAATACGTCTGCGCATGCGCGGGAACTAAGAAATGGCGCCAAATTTAAATTCCAATTTCAAAACAAAAACATGGCCAGCAAACGGGTCGTAATTCCTCCTAGATTTGAAGTACAGCAATTTAATAAGGTGGCTTCCTACAGTAATCGTACAGTTTAAAACATATTGATTGATTGATAATAGTATTTATTCAGGAAAACCAACATTTATCACTTATTTACTGAGACCAAGGAGTGTTTTGTTATATAGTATATAAGTGTCAAAGTATGAATAGTTCACCGGTTATTGGAGTGAACTTTGAAACCAAAACTTGATAAATGGAACGTCAACGCCGTAAATGTTTAATAAAAAAAGTTTAATAAAATGAACAGTTGGAACTTCACGGTTGACGCACATGCGCACTGCACCCATTCTATTGTGGACCGGTCAATAAATTATTTATTATGGTAATGCCGTAACGACGTTTTGCGCACTGGCACGTGATACGCTTTTGTCCAATCGGAAAACCGATGTTTGAGGAGAAATTGTTTCTTCTATTTTCACTATCATCAGGCTATGTTTCTTCAACTTTTTGGCCAGATTTTTATTTAAAAATGGTTTCCAGCGCCTTTATAACTAAACTAAACTTTCTATTGCAGTGGACAAAGATGCCGTGAGATGGATTGTTTTAAACAGGATCAAAGAAAATGGGACAGCATTTGGTATATATACGTACTTTGTACTACGGAATCATAGTATTTCCATATTTATTTAATAACTGCATCACATAAATTCCATAATCGACATAATGATATTGTTTTGGCCACTTGAGCCTTTAGCCGTTTAGATACTTTTTCATACAGTTCAAACGTTAATTAACGCAATTTTTGCATTTAATATACTTGGCACATTATAGCCAGGGGGCGATTATTACTGTAGTACATGGACTTCGTCCTTAACCGGAATGAACAGAACATTAGCTATATATTATATCATGAAATCATTAAATGTACATGCAACCGTTATTTTGTTTTAATTGTATTTTAAGTGGACTTCTATAAAGAGGCAAACAAAGACGACTTTTGGGAATTCAGTCTTCAAGAGTCAAGTGTAACTAGTTCACTCAGAGAGCCTGCTCATATATTCCTACAACTGGTTTGTATATTTCTTGCCAATTTCAGAGCCTTCGAGGGGAGACACAGGGAAAGGTACTTCCCCCACCCTTAATTTTCTCTTATCCAGAATTTTACTTATTTTCATATTTATGCCTTTGTTGTAAAAGCAATTACAATCAATCCATCTACAACGTGCATGACAGCGTAAGTATATCGATAAGAACAAAACATTTCATGTTGGAGGAAATACTATACTGATCACATGAGGTTACAAAAAGTGCGTTACAAAATCTTAAATTCGTAAGTGCAAGAACACAACGCGACTTAGTACATGTACAGCTAGCTCAGTTTGCTGGGACCGGATTCAGCTCGAAACAAGCACAATAAACCAGACAAACGCGACTGTAAAAGTAAACTTATAGCCTTCCCAGCGACCGGTTGTACGAATGCGTTTCAGACACTATACTCGCTATCCACAGTTTAATTCACTATCAGCCGGTAACATTTTACCCTGGGTGCCAGAGGTTTTTCCACGCTCGCAACGCAAAAAAATATAGTGACGGACGGGCGAGCGGGAAAAACCTCTGGAACCATGCACGCTATTTTACTGTTTTGTTTGATCTCCCGCTAACCAATCAAAATGTGTGAAATATTGTCAGAAAGGTCAAGGCAACGCCTTTCAATGAATGGATTTTTTCTAACATACTGTAAACAAAGTTGTCAATTTCACGAAGAGATTTCATAGCGCGATTTTAGCTTCGCTTCTCAATGAGTTTGCCTGTCACACCGGTGAAAATTATACGAAAACGCTTACCTGATCATTTAAAGTGTCGGGTTTGTGGAGAGAACGTATCTGTTCAAGGAGGACTTCATAGAATTTTTGGGGG